ATGTTTCCCTGCTGCCACAAGGGATCAGATCATTTTGTTGTCAGGAATTGTAGCTTGTGACAGCAGTGAAGCTTTTTCTATATAGAAATTTAAGCTGCATTATTTATAGTTTGCAGGTCATGCTGCTTCTGTTCCAATTTCCCCAATACCAGCAGTGGTCTTGTAAAGACATGAGTTTCTTGTTTCTTTTTTTTCTTCTTCTTTTAACCTATTTATGACAGGAAAAACTTAATGTTGTTAATACTTAGCTCTCTGTTGTGGTATTGAGCTATGGGTTGCCTTGGAAACTAGGTTCAACAGGGAATTATACAATAAAATGTATTTGTGTCTCCATGTTGCAGATTCTGTGAATTAATACTGAATATGGGAAATTCTTCCCCTCCCCCCCCAGTAAAATTGTAATGCCCACTACGCTGCTCTGGGGGAGGGAAGGGGGAGCTCTGAAAGTACAGAAACTGTTTCTAGATTGTCAACACTGGCAGGACTCTCAAGGTTGTTCTTTTCATGCAGCAAAAGGGTTTGGAAGAAGGTTTATTATCTCTGTCCCTTAGTTCCTGGCCTATTTTAGGTCATAGGGTTGATACTTAGGAGAAATGTTTTACAGAAACCCTTTATTAATGCTTGCTGCCTTGTGTTTTGAAGAACTGTTGACACACTCATTCTACAAGGCACTGATATTTAAATTCTGCTTGCAAATGACTGACTTATCCTTTGGACTTGCCTGTTGTTGAAATTTATTCCTTGCTTCCTCCAAATATAAATAGAAATTCAGCAAAATGAGTAAAAGGTAGAAAAGCCAGACATTCCATTATATTTTGGTTTCTGTTGTATGTTTGGTTGTATGAGATTTACAATTGAAGTTAAAGATTTATATAAAAGTTTAAAGTGCTTGTACCCTCTAAAGGTGGTGGCTGCTTCAGAAATAACTCAGTTGGTGAAAGAAACGCCACTGTCCACTAGTGCATAGGCATGTCTGCCTAGGCATGGTCTGCCTTCAGGAAGAAGAGTTCTCCATATAATCTGTGTTGGGGGTTTTTTTTGTGTTTTTTTTTTTTTGTTTTAGCTGAGAAGTATGAATCTGCCATGAATTTGCCATGAATTTGGTTCAGTCGCTTTAGGATCCTCTTTAGAGGCAAGCTGAAAAGTTAGTGTTGCAGGCTTTCAAGTTTCAAGATCTTCAGCGAAGGATCATCTGTGATTAGGAGCTGCATCTGGCCAGCAAATGAGAGAGAAATGAGGGAAATCTCACATTCCTCTATTTCCAGCTTTTTTACTTGTCAGTTTATCTCCGTAGCTTCATAGTATTGATAGTAGGGGACTTCACTTGCGCTCTCTGCAACTCCTACACAATAAATAACACAATACTTCTTCTAAATTAAGTTTTAAAATATAAAAGCTGTCATGTGTCATTCCCCAGTGCATTTTCTAAAATGCAAGGAAAGAACATGTTTCATTTCTTTGTCATTTGGAGGCAGAGGAAAACTCCTTGTTACTAAATGAAAATCTTACATTGGTGAAAATATATGTACACTCATTATGTTCCATATGTTAAGCATTCCTGGAGAATCCTACTTACTAAATTGCACATGCAACCTCTTTGGCATTAGTTATGAGTGTTCTTCCATATGTGAAGCTTTGTAAATTCCTCGTGCTCCTCCATAGTCCTGCCTGTAGCTCTCAATATAGCTTGGAGAGGGTCACCTTGATCTGAGTTATTAAGCCTCTAGATATGTGCTGATAACCTCAGCCAGATGAAAAATACTGGACGGACAGATGGTGAATGTGTAGGCAACTTCTATTCATGACAAAATATGCAAACAGTTTAAATGAGATTTTACTATCAAATAGCTGTGAATAATTTCAACAAGTCTTTTTTTTCAAAAACAGAAAGAAGAAGGAAAAATTCAAGGACAGCTTAATAAATCTGATTCTAACCAGTATATCAGAGAACTGAAAGATCAGATAGCCGAGCTGCATCATGAGGTAAGTGATAAAACTCTACTGTCTCTGATCACTTGCACCTTTTGTCAGATCTTTTAAGCATAGTAGGTTTTGCTTATCTAGTAGCTATTATAGTTTCAATAGCTGATTTTGCCAATGTAAATTATTTTAAATGAATTTGATGACACTAAGTCTTGTATATGAATCTTGTCGTTATATCCTAGGATGTAAGAGAAGAAAATTTGCTTCATTACATAACTTCTCATTACAATGAGATTAACTTCTATATTCCAACTTTTTTCCCCTTAATTTCATGGGTTAATCATATGTTGTGTTGCGTGTATTACTTCTGGAGCTGTATGTAAGAAAATAAGCCCCTTCGAGTCTCCATTTGCTACACTTTTTAAGGCTAACTGAATTAAAAACTAGACTGCATTTGTGCCAGCATGAGACTCTGTGGAGATTTTTAGTACTTACTGTTGTGAGGATGAATTATATGTGATGGTGTACTGAGATTGCTTAAAAAGAAAAAGGATGCTTGCTTAATGTCAGTTAACAGATTTTAAGTTTTAAAAACTGCCAAAACCTTCAACCTGTGAAATTTCTGTCTTCAGACTTCCTTGCTCTAGTAGTTGTAGTAACTTTCTGTTAGTTAAAAAGATCAGAAGGTCCTGAAACCGAAATGGCTTATGTAACTACAGTGCTCATTGGCTCATTTCAGTTCATCCTGCATTGTGAAGAAATGTCTTTACCTAACACTGCACTGTGTGCAAAATGCTCAGTCATCTTTATTTTAGACTGCTTCCATATGCCTTCTAATACACAGCTCTGACAGTGTTGCTTAAAATCATAGCATTGTAGAGGAATGCAATCCTACTAATGTTTGCTGCCTTTTTGCTTTTGTTAAATAATCACATCCTTTAAGCATAGTTTTTTTCATAACCATCTTTGTAGAGTCAACCTTTCTAGGACCCATCCCTTGAGAATTATAATATAGTGGAGGATCTTGAAATGCTGACTTTGCCATAGATAAAAGGATGGTCTCTAGGGCCATCCATCTAGCACCTTTACCAATCACTAAGCTCACTTAAAAACAAGTTTAAAATCAATAACTTGCCATTTTCCATTAAATGACTATAACCAGCTTACTTCTTTATGAGAAGGTAAGCTGCTTGCAGAATTCCTGGAAGCCAGGAAATTTTGCAAAATCATTGTAAGTAACTAAGGTACTGTAGCAACTTTTTCTTCTGCTCAGTCTAAGCTTAAAAGAGAATAAACCATTTCTTACCCCAAAAAAAAAAAAAAAGTAGGATTGCTGTTGTAATGCTGCTGTATAACTTTCTCTCTACAAGCATTTGTTATATGCCTGGCTGAGCAACATCATTTTCAGAAAGACACAAGCATATGTTTAATGTGTATAACTTAATGTGACCGGGTTGGAATGAAGAGGAGGTTCATTAGCTGACAGAACAATGATAATTCTGAGTAACACAGCTGATTTCTAACCAGTTAAGTCTAGACAAGTCTTTATTAGCACTTCTGTTTGCTTGAGAGAAAATGCCAGTAGGGAGAGAGAATTTCAACAATAGCAGAATTTGAGTAACTCCATGTAGAAGAGTACTCTTCTTCCAGAGGTGTACTCCCTTGTTGTTGCTCAATTTAATTAATTTCCAAACTAGTTAAGCACTACAGGAACAAAGGTAGCTCATTCTAGGACAGACAGAAATAAAAGGAAGGAACTGTACATAAGTTCTATGCTGATAGCATCTTTACTTCATTATAGACTTTCTTAAAGCCTGGAAGTCCTTGCTTACAAATAATGAGTTATTTTTATTCCTCACTCTAATATATCTGCTGTTTATGTCTAGTATTTATATAAAAGCTTGGGAGGGAAAGTAATACTTCATGCACAATCCTTTATTTTGTGTTTAGCCCATTTGAAATAATGTAAGGTTAAGCCTGAAATGTATGCCTGTAGTGTTTACGGGTAAGTCAGTTCTAATAGATGATAATTAAGAAGTCTTAGATTAGCGTAGTTGCTAAGCAAAGAATTTTGTCTGCAGCGTTTTCTGAAAGAGCAAAATCTCAATAATTTGGCAATAGGAAGAGACAAAAATGTTTGTCCTCAATTGCTGAATGTTAGGATTAATGTACTTTGGCCAGTACCAATTAAATAAACCAGTTTTCAAAGTCTCTTTCTGTGTAGATCCATTAATGACCCATGCTCTTTGCTCTTTGGCTAACTGCTATTTGATTCTACTTCTGCAAAAGCTAAAAGGAACGTTACAAATAAATTTGCAAATTCATCTTCCTGAAGATAGGGTGATGGTGTATGCGACATGCTGACCACAACCTCCCAACTGGCTAACATGTAAAAGACACAGGAGTAGAGTTCTTGGTGACTATATGAAGTTATGAAGTTACCATTTAATACATTGTAATTGCAGAACTTTTGCATTAAATTGTGTCCAGTTGAAAGCTGTAGTTTAATGAGCAAGGAGAGGGAAGCAAGATTAAAGGTGTTGACATGGTCATCAATACGTTGATTCTGCATGTTGAACTCTTACACGCCCGCCCCATCGTCACCAGCTGTACAGAAATTTATATCAGAAGAATTGCAGGTCCTTCATCCAAAAGATGGAGCAGAATAATGAGCAAGTCATATTAAATATAAGTAATTGTAAATGATGCCCATATTGTGGCCTTCTAATAAACACAATTTTACCTCTTTGGCCAGAAATATGCATGTGTATGCTTCTGTATCAGTGGAAGCTGAAGGAGCAAGATACTTTAATTCCATCCTGTGATATGATCCGTCAGATGCTGTGACGGCACCATGATGTCGTAACTGCAAAATTCATCCTAATCAAAGTTTTAGTAGAAAGACTCCTATGCTATCAGTATTTGAAATCCAGACTAGTCAGGCATAGTACAAACCCAGAATGCCCGTGAGGAACACCAGTAAGAACCACAAGGTAACAGCAGAAAGTGGGTTGCTATTACTGCCCAGGGGTTAGAGCTTAATGCTCTGAACTAATGGGGAGTGTTGTTGTGGCACAGGAGCAACATCTGCTGCTGTGCTTCACATTCTCCCTTGATAAAGGAGAAAGGTATGGTAACCCAAAGCAGCTACATATCAGAGCACTGTGAATAGAATTTTTAAGGTGATTAATATTATAGTGTTTTTTTTTTATACTTTTGAAAACTTCCAAACCACTGCCCTGTCTTGAGTCCATCGCTATGGCTCTCAGATCTGATAAATGTTACCTCACTGCAAGGTGCACTTAGCTAACTACGTTTTGCTACTACAGAAAAAAGAAACTGCTATTTATGGATGCTAGTGTTCTCTGGAATTTGTCTTGATGTTTGTTGCTGTCAGAAATGTCTTACAGAGCTTAGAATCCTCAAATCCTGAAGTTTTGTCCTCAAAGCAATCCAGACCACTAAACATCATAAATAAAAATAATACTAGAATGGAAGTGTAGGAGGTGTTACTGGAATAGGAAGGGAAAACCTATGACTCTACTTCAGTTAGTCTCAAGAGGTGAAAAAATGTTCAGGAAGATGCAGCTTGTTTCTCTGTGCTCTGTTCTTCAGATAGCATGTGCTGTATATTACTACTCATAAGAGATTTTTTTCTGCCTTTTCTTCAGAGAAAAATGAAGGTGATGTTC